TATAACCAGTTGAGAAGAATCCTCGAAATAATAAAAGATGAGCTCATATTATCCTGGTACAATAGTTGTTCTTGCTTTGTTCAAGTAAGCAAATGTTGAACAGCATTAGGGGACAGGGTGTTTAGTTCTCTGAAACTTGTGTAGGAAAATATTAAATGTAGCAGAAGTGATAAGATTTATACTTTTAACACTGCTATCAAATCATTGATTCTTCTTGGCACATCATCATCTCCAACCGACTGGTGCACACTTTCTTCAATACTTATTCTCAGCTGATAGTGAAGCTCAGATTCTCAAACATCAAGAAACTTAGCCAACTAAATGGCCTAATTCCAGATAAATATGCAAGAGAAAGTGGAAGTGAACTAGACGTAATCAGAAAAAGATGGGTTGGGCAAGGGTACGAGTGAGGTATGAAGAATATCATATGAGAAGCAAATATACCTCTGAAGCTATGTATTCCAAGGAGAACGTAAAAATCAAATAATTTGATAATCATGATAATAATAATCGTATAACAGTATATTTCAAGGATGGGATTGTGAAAAGATGAGAAGTAACGACCCAATCAAAAATAGGACCCACAAAAATGCCTATCATAGAGCTGATCATAAAATTGTATGTTAAATCTACAGAAGTTAAAGAATGGCTGGTACTATATTTTTTCTTTAGTTCCTAGAGTAACATAGGGCTTCAGTCGCACATCTCCATTGAGTTCGTTTCTCCGCCAATGTTTTCACCTGACTTCACGTCTGACAACATGCTTTCATCTATCTGCTCTTCACATCACCTCCTCCTACATGTCACCCCACCCTCGCACTGACCATCAACTCGCCGCCTCGTATTCGCCTTCCACTCGAGTGATGTCCTGCACTGCGTGTGATGTCACTCATTTGATAGTTTGTTTTCTCAGAATATGGCAAGCCAATCCACCTCCATTTCTTCCTGCATATTTCTTGTACAATTGGTTCCTGTTGGGTTGGTTCGCTCATTTCCAGAGATCCATCACTATTGCTGATCGTTTCTGGTTGGCCATCTGCTCTTGAGCGAAGTATTGAGCGAAGACGGTTGTTGATGGAGGTTTGTAGTTTGTTCAAAGTGCTCTTCATGACACTCCAAATATCTGATCTTTACAGTGGCAATGACTTAAAAATGGAGTTGAAAAAATCCGGATCTTATTTTTCATGCTGAGGAGTGCTGTTGACCTCCACACAGACTTGAAAGAAATGAAAGATTGCCTTGCTTTCAGGATCCTCCCCTTGATATCCTCATCAATTCCGTCCACCTGTAGTTGAAACGATTCCTCACAGGTTTGTGGATAGGTGAAGGAAGTTGCTTCTCTCAGATTTCTCCCATCATGCTGGTTGATGGTTGTTTGTTGTTGCGGTTGCTGTTGGCCAGAAATCTTCAGCACCTCTGTTTTCTCTGTGATCACCTGAAGGAAGTCCTATATTCACTAGATGCTTCTTCTGCGAACTTGTTGCTTTTCGCTTGCATATCTTCCGGTTTGTAAGAAATCAGACATATATCATCCGAAAAGTCCAGTGCGCCTGTCTCCCCGTTGCCCGCTGTGTGTCTGACATATTATCCAGTCTATTGCAATCAGGAAATTAATCATTGGAGATCGTAGGCAGTCAGCCTGTCAGACTTGTGTTACTCCCGTCTTCACTTCACAGGATTCCATGAGTTTCCCGTTTCGGATTGCTTGGCATGCAGCATTGTCGTACAACTGATGGATGAGATGAATAATTGTTGGCGGTACCCCTTGGTAGTAGCAAAGAAGTTTCCAAATCGACATAAGAATAAAACTTGGGCAATGTGGTAGAGTGTAATTTCATTATGGGTAAATTTTATTTTGATAAAGTCTCACAGTGTTATACAGTAATATATAATAATATACAGTAAGTATTACTGTATAACACTGTGAGACTTTATCAAAATAAAATTTACCCAAAATGTAAGTTTCCAAATCACCTTCGATCGACGCTGTGATGTCAAAGGCCTTTTCAAAGTAAGTAAATTTGTGGTAGAAAGCTGAATGCCATTCGTAGTGTTGCGATTTGATCGATGCATGATTTGTTCCTCCTCAATCCAGCCTGTTCCAGTCAACGTTTTTCATTCAGGGCGTGTTTGATTCTCTCCAGGATGATACGGCTTAGTATTTTGCTTGGGATGGACAGGAGTGTAATGCTGCCCCAGTTCTTTCATTGACCTAGGTCCACTTTCAATGGCAGTTTAAATAAAGGCGTTGAATTGAATTTCTTCAAAGTATAGAAGCTATGGCGATCCACATCGTTAAATTCTGAAGTTTTCATATAGAAGAAATACGTCCAGTCGTATTACTAATCATGCTACTTTTTCCGCCCTCGACAAGATTATATTTCTACACCTTATGAAATTGATCCAAGCATTGCCCATCTTTCAACTTGAGTTGAGGTCTACTCAATATGATCAGTTAAACTGCGTTTCGTTTCTATCAAGTCGTTGTCTTGTGAACTATGTAGCTGTCATCTAAAAATACATCTTTGGAAACATCCTTTTCATTGCTAAAAAAGTGAACACCATATTTAAGCGGTTGTAAATCTTGCAAAATCTTGAATCGATTGAATCAATTCTCAGTGGCTGAATGGCTTAAAAACTTCCCTTGCAACTGGAAGTTCCTAGGTTTGGACCTTGATGGATAGGTACTACTGATGAGTCCCAAAATAGGACGAAAGAGCTGTCTATTACTTTTTGGTTCGTGATGGCTCTCTAACTGATGTCGGTCCCCGTGTTGAATGAGTAACTGTCTAAGCTGAACAGCTTTTCTTTGACAAATGAATTAGTTTCCACGTTTTGTCTTTATGACCTCTAAAGAGTCCTAAATTAGGACGAAACAGATGCCCAGTACTTCCAGGTTTTCCAGTAGTCCTCTAACCGATGTCAGCTGATGATGAGGTCCACGAAGCCAATGAAATCCCTGCAGACCAACACTTGACTACCAATGTATTTTTGTTTAACACTGTGGACACCAGGGCATTCGGTGATAAGGTGTAAGAATGATACATATAGCTTGTCCGCATCTACCTGGCACATCTGCAACTCTTAAATTGGACCACAAAATGTCAGTAGTCAGTTTTAAACAGAAATGATATCCTGAAAAACTGATGGTAATCAAACTATTGCATATTATCACTACATACAGCGAAACAAACCAAACAGTAGAGATCGCTAGCCGTATCAAGGTTATCTAAGTGCCATGCAGATAGATGTTCTTAATGGTGTACCTGAAGTGACCCAACCAGAGAAAAAAATTGATCTTTTTCTTAAAAAAACAATCCCATTTAAATCACCTTTGTCTAGCCAGTTAGAAATACTGGATAATAATAATAATTTGCTTTATTCCAGAAACAGTACTAGTGGTACAGTTCGGAATTTTCAGCATAGATCTACAATATTTGAATCTAATTTTGTCCAACGTTTTTAAAGGAGTATTTCAAAAAAAATAAATATAAAGACAACAACAAAAAAGCACAAAAACACAAAAATAATAGAAAAAATGCGAAAAAATACCAAGAAGTAGAAATAAAAATAAACAACATAAAATAATATCTCAGTATTGGGTAGTGGAAGCTATGATATGACAATGCATGGTGACAGTAAAGCTATGGTCATACAAAAAGTTATGAAGTGATATTTAAGAATGTTTATCGGCAAGATGATCAGTTAATTTGGTCGAAACAACACTAAACATTTCAGGGTTTTTTATGAGGTCTAATGTGGTGTTTGTAGTGGTAGTGTGGGTAATCCTGCATAATACAAAATTTTGAGATGATGGTAATGGCGTTCACAACCAGTGATTGTCAGTTAATATTGCAGAAAAAAATAATAAAAAACACAATCACAAAACTAATAATTACTTCATGGTTAATGACAGGATAATTCTGTAATATTCATAGTGCTAATATAGTCGGAACCAGTGGATACACAAAAGAAGGAGTAGAGTAAAGTACAAAAAAGTAAGCCAATGTTAATAATTTAGGTAGCTAAGTATGTTTAAGAAGGTGTTCACTATAGATTACAAAATAAGAGAGAAATAAAAGAGCCTAAAATTATGTTAATAACAACGAAGCAAGTCATAGGTTTCGCGCTTAACATTGTCTCTGTCACTTTGAACACGGGCGAAATATGGTATCGTTGAGTTACCGTACTTGGTTGTACGAGCATAGATTATTTTGCACTGATTTCTGGTTCTACTTGATGAGATACAAGGAGAGAGTTTGAAACAGAGGGGGCGTTGGGGGTCAGAGAGTATGGTTTTAGACCATTTTTCGCATGTATTCAGATGCCTTTCAACTAATGTAGTGACGAGCTGACTGAGTTTTACACCACTAGTCCTACTAACTACCTTCAACATCCTTCTCAGGATGGTATAGTCCTTTTTCAGTAGCCCAGGAAAGACTAATGGGGAGCAGTAAAGTAGAATAGGTAAGATACAAGAGTTGACAAATTGTGAAAGTAGAGTTTGGGTGATTCCAGATTGTCTAAGTTTCTTAATGTAGTAGGTTAGACAGAACACTTTCTTAGGAATCGTTGGTATATGAGATGTCCAAGTAAGGTTGGAAGATAGACCTAGACGTACGTGGTGTTTCACGAATCAGGTCAGCAAGTAGTATATATCTGGTGTGACATTTTATTTGTTTTTGAGTGAAATCATTTGCGCTGTCCAACAGGTTACAAAATTAAATAAAACTATTTTCATACTGTGTTCAACGAGCGAGGGTGTGTGTGTGTGCCTGAATGTTCAGACGAAATGTCTCAACTTTCATTAGGAGTCTATGCTTACCAGACTCGTCTTTGTTTATTGCTAATCATGTGAAGCATGTTTTTTTTAATTAAGAATAGTAGTTCTGTCCATATATATATATATATATATATTTACATAATTAGTATATCTTTACAATTTACACTTGAATGACTGTATTCATCTAATTTTCTCTTTCTCCGCTTTAATTATTTAGTTTTTATGATACAGAAAATGGGAATTTACTCAACTCAATGTGGTTAATAGCTGTAACATTTTTGAGTATCGGTTACGGTGATATTGTACCGCATACATATTGTGGTCGAGTTATCGCTTTAGCAACTGGTGTCATGGTAAGTCATTATAGTAAAATATCTCCCGGATATTAGTCACAAGTATTTTGAATGTTAATGGGTGCTTTGTATGGTTTATTCTGAATTCGGTCAAGTGATTATTGATTAGACAGGTTGAACTATTGACCATTTTGACTGTATTGTGAATGAATCTTGGAAGTAGGGCAGAGCGGGTGGGTGATTGTCTTCTCTTCCTGAATAGTAGTCACCAAGAAGTGTGGGAAAGAGGCTGGGAACAACGAGATATGGACAAGAACAAAAAAAACAGACAACAATCAGCATAAATGAGAGGAACCTGAAAGAAACAACCTCTTTTACCTTCATAGGAAGCATCGTTTCAACTACAAGGAGACGGAACTGACGAGGATATCAAAGCAAGAATCGGAAAACCAAGACAAGCTTTCACTACTCTCAAGTCTGTGTGGAGGTCAACAGCACTCACAATCAAAAATAACATCCGGATTTTCAACTCCAGTGCGTGAGGTCAGTGCTACTCACTATACGGATCAGAGACTTGCACTGCACGTCATAAAGAGCACATCGAACAAACTGTAGACCTTCATTAACAGTTGTCTCCGCTCAATACTCAAGATTAGATGGCCAGCCAGGAAAGATGAGCAACAGAGATCTCTGACAATGAGCGAACCAGCCCAACAGGAACCGATTGTGAAACAAATAGGCAGGAAGAAATGGAGATGGATTGGCTGGCCATACTCTGAGGAAACAAGCCATCAAGTGACATCACTAGACAAGCCATTGCTCGAGTGGAACCCGAAAGGGAAGCGGCGAGTTGGTCGTCAGTGAGAAGGTGGGGTGACTTGGAGGAGGTCATATGATGAGGAGATGAAAGCGTGTGGACAGACTTGGAGTCAAGTGAAAACTCTAGCAGAGAACCGAACGCAATGGAGACGCACGGCTGAAGACCTATATTCCTCTGGGAATTAAAGGAAACAATAATAATAATTATTATTTTGATTGCAGCTTGATTCCACACTGCGTTTTTTTAATACTAGAATGGAATTTTCAGCATGTGATATCGGTAGCCCAAATTTTGCAAGCTGACCATAGATATCAGGTGTGCGTCGGCAGGGGATCGAACTCTGGACCAGGTGCATGATCGGCGAGAGTTCTAACAACTGTGCCTCCGACGCACAGCTGTGTAATATGCGTTACTGTTTTCATTATACAACATTTTCTCTTGCGAATGCCTGGTAAACTTTAGACGGCTGGAAATATTTTGAGATCGGTTCATCTAAGTAGAGTAGACTAATAACTAGATGACTCCGAGTTTAATTCACAAGATTCTTTACATTCCCAGTGAAATATAGGGGGCTTCAAGCTAGAGTCTTGAAGTTTCGTTAGCAGCAATGGTGTTTATTTTTGCGGGATAATTTTATTTATTTTATTTTTTATTTTGATTTACAGCTAGCCTCAAGCCTAACCTTCTCTCTTTAATGGTCTTAATACCTGCTTAGCGAGGTTCTGGAGTTCACCCGTGGTCGGAGATCGAACCCCGGACCACATGTGTGGTTGGCGAGCATTCTACCACTGCGCCACCAACTCGCATCACTGCTTTTTTGAGAGTATTTAATTACTTCAGAATATGAACTAGTAAAATGAATCACGAGTATATTAGCTGATCCTAAACCTGAGAAATAGAGGTAGGATAGGGATGGAAGGAACCACTTCATCGTTGACATGTGACTCACTGGATCAGGTACTAAATTGATAGCTAGTGGATCTAGGTGTTTGAGTGCTACATTACCAGTCTAGTAGTTAGGCAGATGAAAAAATATGTTTTGGGTATGTAACCTCTTATTGTTCATTTTAGCTGCTTTGAATTCACATTTTTCCAGCCATAAAATAGAATGGTACTAGATATTCAGGAGATAACAGCTTTCTTTACTTTATCCCACTTCATAAGAACTTAACAGCTCACCTGGAAATCTGAAAACTTCAGACTCCATCTGTTGAAATCAACCTAGAAGAGACCTGTATGTTGTCTACAGTAGATTGGGAAAAAATGAAAAAGAGATATTTCTGTTGGTAACTTATATGCTCACCTTTATCTCTGGCAGAGCTCGAAGCCAGAACTACTGATGAGTCCCCAGCCTGGAAGAAACACAGATACATGCATCCACTGGTCTGATTGATGTTCATTGGTGAAATCAATCGAATTCGCATGAATTCAACATTTAAAAATTCTACCAACAATATGTAAGGAGTAATTAACAGGGAATAAAGCCTCAACATAGAAACAGTATTGTTCAGTTACATGTCTTATTTAAGAGATGTAATTTACTCTTGAACATATTAGAAACATGATGCACTTAGAAATAACTATTATTCTTTTAGTTTACTAGTGGAACATAATGCTTCAATCTCTTTGCCACAGTATTCTTTAACTGACTCGATTATCACTGACAGACTTTCACTGCCTCGTCACAAGATTTTCTCCATGTTATCCTTGGAATAAGACGCAACTCGTATTTGTCCACTAGGGTTCCAATTGAAGGCTTGCCTAGACAGTGATGTGTCTCAACTGCTTCCTCCATTTTATCCGCCATATTCTTTGGATGATAGGTTAATTGGCTAAATGATTGACAAAAGTCCTTGTTCCTTATATTTTTAGGCTGGTCAGTCATCTGATTTTCCGTGTGTTGATCCATCGGAGGTAACTGTTAATTAAAGCTTTCAGTGGTACTATATGGATCAGATACTTGGAGCTGCGCCGCGCCATGTCACGAAAGCCACTTTGAACAAACTACAGACCTGCATCAACAGCTGTCTTCGATATGATAGATAAGATTAGTAGCTCAGGTGGATGGTTTTGGTGTGGCTGTGTTCTCTGAGCCGGATAGTTAATTTGCGAAGCTTTCATCGCCCTACTAGGCGACATCTTCAGAGCATACTTCAATTTGAAGTGAGCTTTTGGATTTCTCCATGAGTTTATTAATCATCTCTACTGGTGACCTTGGACGTGATTGGTTATTTTTGTGTGTTTTCACACCTTCTAGGCTACTTGTATTGGAACCGATTGTTTCTTTGACTTGAACTTTGACCCTTTTTTGTGTGAGATTTCTTTCTTATCGTTTGATAAATTTTGTCAATCTCGATGTGTTTATTGATTGACAATTCACTAGAATACCAGGCCGGCTTCTAAAAATTCCCTCGCATACTTGGTGCTTCCTCTGTCTAATATTTGAACGTTACCCCAGTCGAATTGATGTCCGTGGTTGTCTGTATGTAGTGATATGAGGGAGTGGATCATACATACTACATACAGACAACCACAGACATCAATTCGACTGCGACAACGTTCAAATATTAGGCAGAGGAAACAACAAAAAGCTAGAGAAATTTAAGAAGCTTGTCATTCCAGTGAATCATCAATCAATAGACACATCGAGATGGACAAAATTTATCAACCGATAAAAAGGAAACCTCACACACAAAGGGTCAAACTTGAGGTCAAGGAAACAATCAGTATCAATACAAATAACCTAGAAGGTGTGAAAACACACAAAAACAACCAATCACGTCCGAGGTTAACCACCAGGAGAGATGAATAATAAACTCGTGGAGAAATCTAATAGCACACTTCAAATTGAAGTATGCACTGAAGATGTCGCCTAGTAGGGCGATGAAAGCTTCACAAATAAACTATCCAGCTCAGAGAATACAGCCACATCGAAAAAAGCTGTCTTCGTCCAATACTACTCAACATCAGGCGAGCGACCACAAACGATCATTAGTAACGAGAGATCTCTGGCAATCAGCGAACCAACCTAACAGGAACAAATTGTGAAGGAAGCAGGCAAGGAGTAATGGAGGTAGATTGGCCACACTCTGAGAAAACAAACCATCAAAGCTCTCGAATGGAACCTGAATGGGAAGCGGCTAGTTTGTCGTCAGTGCGAGGGTGGGGTGACATGTAGGAGGAGGTGATGTGAAGAGGAACTGAAACCATGTGTGGAGACCTGCAGCCAGATGAAAACGTTGGCGGAGAACTGATGGCAGTGGAGACGTGTGGTTGAAGCCATATGTTCCTCTAGGAACTTAAGGAAACAATAATAATAAAGCCTTCAGTGACCTGTTGAAAATGCTTTCCTTGACTCATCAAGCTCCTGAACCACACAGAAGATCTAAATCAACATTGCTGTTAAAAATTTGGAATTTTTTATTCTCATGCTGGGTAAAGTAGATACCTATTTAGAAATCTACTTTGTAAATTGTCAATCACCTTATGAATAAAGTAAAAGGTATCAAAATCTAATTTCACGGTGATAAATGATTCCGATACCTCTTGAAAAGCACTACAACTTTACACCTATATAATATTTGGGATCCATTCAAGTGAATACCATCAATCCTTCAGGAAATCTAAGACTAGAGGCTTATGGTTTATTAGCACTTATCGGTCAGTGTTATCTCCAATACACAGAAATTTCACAATGACTTCCATCTGACCTGACCCACTGACCTACATCATTTCTAAACTTTTGCTACTTCGCTGTTCCCATCACATCAGTATAGTGGTTTCTGAAGATCTCCACTTCAGATCCCCATAGCTCAATGCTATCCCAAAACGTAAATCAATACTCTCCACTTCTTGTTTCTACCTTTTAATAATAATAATAATAATTTGCTTTATTCCAAAACAGTACTTGTGATACAGAATGGAATTCTCAGCATTTCACTACAGTATTGCATCCATTTACAATAATCTCAGTTAGTTTTGACAACAACATATTAGCATATCGGCGCCAGCAAAGCCAAAAGTGAACAGAATGTTTGAAGGTGTTAGAAAAGTAGATACTAGCAGATTTACTGGCGCGTAAGCGGTAACAAAAAGGTCAAGATATACAGATTGTGAAATAATGAAGAAGAATGTTTTGAGTAAATTTTGTAAGGAAGAGAGAAACAAAGCAGCATATAACGAAAAAAAAGACAGAGAGAATAGGAAAAGAAAGAAAGAAAATGTTGTACCTATAAATGATGTGAGTTGGAAAGACGAGGTCCAGTTGTTCTACTGACAGTTAAATAAGTTATAAGTTTCACGCCTAATGCTTTCTTTATCGCACAAAACACGAGCTAAGTAGGGTATGGTTGAATTTTTGTACTTGCTGGTGCGAGCATATAGTTTTCTATATATGCTTCTGGTTTTGCCTAATGAGATGCAAGGGGAGAGTTGTGAGTGAAGAGGGTGATGTGAGTTAGATAGAGTGGATTTAGCCCACTTTTCACATGAGTCCATTTCTTGTCGACTAGAATATTAACAAGCTGGTTAAGTGGCACGTTGCTTACCCTGCTGACAACCTTTAACATCCTGCGTAATTTGTTATAGTCTTTCTTCAGTAGCCCGGGAAAAACAAAGGGGGAACAATAGAGAATAATAGTCAGGATGCAAGAGTTAACGAATCGTAAGAGTTAGGGTTGGGTTATTACAGAATGTCTTAACTTCTTGATGTCGAAGGTAAGACGGAATATTTTCTTAGAAATCATCAAGAGTTAGGACGACCAGGAAAGATCAGCCCATAGAATGACGCCGAGATATTTAATTTCCGAGTAAAATTCTGACTGCAATGTAAGACTTCAGCTTGAGGCCTTGAAGTTTCAGTAACTAGTACTTGCGATGTTGTCTTTACAACAACTTCCCTGTTTTTTCCCCGAATCACTACCAGCTTAGAAAAGTTTAATTGTTTGTCTTCGAGGAATTGTACTTGTCAGCATTGTATCGCTGAACATCCAAAGCACAGAATGTTTGTCACCACGTCAAGAGTAGAGACAAGATGAGATAGAGTACTGTTCATCATTTTTGCTCAACTCTTTTCTTTCTTATTATTCTTATTATCAGGGTTCTGGTTGTACAGCACTTGTAGTAGCTGTATTTGCAAGAAAATTGGAATTATCCAAAGCTGAAAAGCATGTGATCCACTTTATGATGGAGAATCAGTTAAATAAAAAGGTAAATTTTGAATTGAAACAATTCAAAAAGTATTTATTGTTACTAGTATTATTGTTACTATTGTCATCATTGTTCCAATGTCTACTGGTTGAATAAAAATCAAAATTTATTTTCAATGTTTCAATTCAGTTGATTTATTAAAACAAAGTGAATAAATAAATAAATCCAAAATGTTCAACAGTTATTCAGGCGAGGGATTTATTATGATGTTCACTTTGTTACATTTTATTACAACCACTATTATCATTATTATTATTACTATTATTATTGCTATTGCCATAAAACAATTTTGTTAACTACCAACCATTCAAATATATAAATTGAAAATCTCAAGAGATTTCAAAATGGGGAATTGGCTACGTCATTCGAAACAGTAGCAAAATACAATCTGTCAACATATTTAGATTACATAACAGAAAATTGAAGTTACAAGCTAGAGAAAGAAAAGAGCGTGTGTGTTGTGTGTTTTAAGAAAGCAGTAGAAAACAGAATTGCGTGAAAAATTGAAAAGACATATGAAAAGACAAATTTGTTATTTTGTAGCGATTATGTCTCATTTTAGTGAGTAGGTCTGATTGTAAACAGACGTCCGTTAACGCTTGGGTTATTTGATTTGTCAAAATTTAGAAGACCTCAGAAAAATACATCCCCAAAGTCGTTGGTTCCATTACTGTTTGGATCTTGTGCAAGCTCATTACAAAAGATTTCAGTGTCCTTGGGTTTCCAGTGGTGTGCTGACTCATGTTGATTCGTAACGAAATGTAATATTAAGCAGGCTTTTAAAGACCCTACATTTTATTTACAGAGTTAATTTCTTGGAATTTGATTTCACCATGAGTTAAAATCGGTTGGAGGACCAGTGGAAAACCAGGGGGTACTGGACGATCGTTTCATCCGAATTCGGGACTGATGTGCAGAAGGCATACTTGACCGGTTTTCGAACCCCGGACTTTCCGATCACATGGAAAGCCCGTAGGTCAATCAGTCACTGGGACCACAAATTTTAACTTCTACCAACTCGTGTTTCCACCGTGACTACCGGCCATTGTCATTGACGAGTTTTTGTCCTCAAACCTGGCCGGATGGACCTCACTGGTCACGACTTTTCACTAGAATTCCAAGCAACTAACTCCTCTGGCTATTTACTAGCCAGTCTCAGATCAATTTTCAAGAGTTATTTTGCAGAGATTTTATTTGCTTCAGCTTTAATCATGGATTGTTATCAGTTAGAGACCAGTTGTCTGTGAGTTTGCCTTGTAAGCAGAAGGTCCTACGTTCTAATCTCGATGGGTGGGTTCCGTCGATGAGTCTTGAACTATTACAAAAACAGCTCTCCCGTACTCGCGATCGATTCATTCCAGCTTGTGACTATTCATAGGCAACCAACCCTGATATTTTTCCTCACCGGAGAGAGAAGCAAGGATGCCTAGGATACAAGGCGAAATTACTGACAGCTTAGACACTGAGATGGAACACAGTGACCTGTGAATTTTATCTCCAACCAGCTCATGATGCTTCATAGCCAGCTAATGTCATCGATGAGTGTTCATTCTCACATTCGACTTAGTGGATCCCACTGCCTACGATTTATACCGAGAACTTCAAGGACATACATCCTGTTATAGGCCAATCAATGATAAGTGGTTCTAGTTTTCAAGTGTGTTGCTTTTTTAAGGATTTGACTGAATTCAAGACAGAACACGATGATTCGCCGAATGATTTCAGTTCGTGACCTAACCTGATCTGGTAAATTTGGGTGGCCATCTCATATCCCGGGTCCTGGCACCAGTGCGCCGGTGGCATAGCGGTTAGGACGCTCGCCGACCATGCACATGGTCCGGTCGACCGCAAGACGCACTCCTTTACTCGCTAAACCAGAAATAATGCTGGTGAAGAGGGAAGGTTGGACAAATAATGCTACAGAAACTTCAAGCCACTAGCTTGAAGCCCTATGTTCCACTGGGGAACGTGAAGGAAAAAATTTCATGTTCACTGTCGACGAAAGGCATCTGTTGATGAAAGCTTGCAGCCACTTGTTGGAGATTCTTTTGGTGATGAATACGCCAAGCTAAATCTCTTAACCATACAGAAACTAATTACAACTACAAAAAACAAATGATGCCAAAATGATTAGAATTATATATGACTACAGTTCAGAGAAACTAGACATTTTCGTTTTCTCCTTGTGTTCATTTAGGTGAAAAATTACGCAGCTAATGTACTTCGAGAGACATGGCTTATTTACAAATATACAAAGCTTGTTAAACGTGTAGACGCCTCAAAAGTTAGAAAACATCAGCGTAAATTTTTGCGAGCAATTCATGGGTAAGTGATGTGTAATAATTGTTTATAGATTTATACAAAACTTTTGTTACATACTTGAAAATATTCTGTAAACCTTTTAGTCTGAGAAGGATAATTGGCTAAATTAATCAAATTCAGAATCCCTGGATCCTGGATTTAATGTTGCTACAATTTCGTTTGTAGATAGAAACGAGTCTACAGGAGACGAACTTTAAAAAGACGATAAATAACAGTTAAAGATTACTTCAGTCCCCCCTCTTCTTAAAGGTTTCTGTCAGATAACTTTCGTGCCTTATCGATGTTCCTTATGATGTTGAAATGAACGAGTTAATCTGACGGGATGTCAGATTATTCATTCAACTTTAGATAAATCACGCTAATTAAATGATCTTAGAAAAATACACAAAAAGAAATGCCACAAGGACATAAAATTGACGTTTACACATCTTTTAATCTTATCTATAAAACGTGATTGAGGGAGAGAGTATCCTAAAGTTTGTGGAAGCCCCAGCAATTAGAAAGTTTAAATCACCTTTATGCGTTCAAAATCATTTCGTCATCATACTAAACCTTCCTTGGTAAACTTTGTTTTGATACCAGCCAGGGTAAGTAGATGTACTATTACCTCTGTTATTTGGTTTAGTGATCTTCATTGTTATTTTGACCCTCAATATGTCCGTTCAACTTGACCTAAGTCTATTTTCTCACCTCTTAACTCTTTATTAATTTCATAAATATATTCCTATGACAAGTCCGTGTGTGATCAGATTGTTCGAAATGTGTTACGCAAATACAACATTACACGATTCAGACAAATTACGTCTTCTTATTGCTTTATCTAAACAATGATTTTCTTTATTCCAAAATAGTATTTATGATTTTTTTATATTCCTTTACTTTCCCAGTGGAACATAAGGCACCTTCAAGCTACAGGCTCGAAGTTTCTGTAGAAGTGGTGTTTATTACTTTTACAGGATGGGGTTGCTAGCCAGCCACATGCCCGACCTTCCCTCTTTACCAACTTTCATTTCTGGCTTAGCGAGGTAAAGGAGTGCTTTCGTGGCCGGGGATCGAACCACGAACCATGAGCATGGTCGGCGAGCGTCCTAATCGCTGTACAGCACCGATGCACAGCATTTGGTTTAATATTGTTGCATATAATTTACTCGACAGCAGTAAAAATAAAACATTTATATTACAGGGTATAGACAACGGAAATTGATAATAACAGCATTGACATTTAAGTCAAAAATGTACAAAAATTGTAATAGGATGATAATAATTTTATAAACTGTGTGCAGAAGCAGTTACAGTCTACGTCTTAAGGGAACAAACGCCTACAATAGTGCCATCACCAGGCATCTCCTTGATACGAGGCATGAAGTGGAAATCGCAAAATCCTTTCAAATTATCAATAGACAAATAAGCTCAATTACTTGTTTTCAAGTTTGCCGAAGCAAGCTCTATCAGACACCTGAAACCCGGTTTAAGTGTTCAGAAAGAAGCAGTTAGTTATCAGTTTTTCCTTGTCCTGCCTGATAACTGGATGTGTTTATTCTTTCCTTCAGTTGGTTGCGCAATCTTTGGCTTCAACCTCATCCATCCAACCCCACATTTGATATAGTGTAATTTTGCTTGTCTCTTGTGTTTCTATGATTTCAGTTGAACTCAGCACATTGTTACCCAATTTATTAGTCACTCAACATCGAACGCATCTCTCGTCTTTTAATATATGTGTGTAGAACTTGTGCACTGTGGTAGTAAGTAATTCCATATTAGTCTGTTTATTAAATTTATCACACAGTGAAACAGTATTATTGTTTACCGGATGACAAGGTTTCGAACAAATTTTATCATTGTTCATAATCATATCATCAATTATAATCACACGACTTCGAAACTTGAGTTTTATAGTTTCCTTTGTCTTCTATTTTTCGTCGTTGGGGTAGTAGAATTTTGCAGATATCTGGGTGGACAGGTGTTGAATCATTCCTATCACACGTAATTTTTACGATAATTATACTATTGAGTTCCGAGTGGAACATACGGCTTCAACAACACATCTCCACTTTCTTCTGTTCTCTGCCATCCTCTTCAATAGGCACCAGGATTGCCTACAATCTCTCATCTCCTCCTCGCCAAGTGGTCCCCTCCATGTCACCCTCACACTGACAACACACTGGTCGCTTTCCATTTGGATTCCTATCGAGCGATGGCCTGCATTCCACAGCCTCCTCAGTGTAGACTCAATCAATCTCCACTTTCTCCTACATATTGGTTAAGCAATCGGCTCTTGGCTGGTTTGTTTCTAGACAGAGTTTCTTGTTGCTAATTCTCTCTGGCTGACTGGCCATTCGATCTTCAGTTTGGAGTCAGCCAGCCAGCGAAGATGGCAGCTGTTGATAAAAGTCTGTCGTAGACTGTTGGAAATGCTTCCCTTGATGCGTCTGCCAAGTTTCTGACACATATAGAAGAACTGACTGACTTCACACTTGTGTCGAAAATCCAAATTTTGTTATTTATGCTGAGGCAGAGTGCAGTGCAGCACATTTCCAAACTGGTTTCAGGTTGATAAAATGTATCTCTTGCCTTTACGATTCTGTCCAGCTTTGTCATCTTCATCCATTCCACCACATGTGATCGAAACCGTGATTTCTAGCCGGATAAGTGAAGGAAGTAGCCTGTTTCGAATCGCTCCCGCGGATGGTGATTGATGCTGGTTGTTCTGCCTTTGCTGTTGATCGGTTAATTGTTTGGTTATCTTCATCACCTCCATCTTCTCTATGTTTACCTGCAGTCCTGTCTTCGCTGGTTGCTTCTTCTGACAGTTTGTTGGTTTTCGCCTGCAAGCATTCGCGTTTGCGTGACATTAAACATAAATCATCCACATGCGAAATCCAGATATTCTAGAGTCTTCTTATTGGTCCAACGTATTCCTGTCTTCTCACTCCCCACAGTCTCCTACTCCATAATCTAGTCCACCCACAATTAGGAATATTATCGTTGGTGATAATATGCAGGCAGCCTCTTCTTATTCCTGTGTGCACTTCAAACGCCGTTAAGGATCACCTGACACGTGGCATTGTCACGTAGCTAGCTGTTGAATGAGGTTTATAAAGACTTGAGCACTGCACGTCGTAATGTTGAAGTAGTTTTCAAATTACTTTTGGTCAACGCTGTCGACGACGTTGCCTTTTCAAAGTCAATAAAGTTGGGTTAGAGCTTTGGCTGTCATTCTATGCTATATGTCGATGCCGATGCATAGATTTGCAATTTGATCAGCACATGATTTGCTTTTCCTGAATCCAGCTTGTTCTGGTCTGTGGGGTGGAAGTTCCACATCTAGTGCTTCTTTTATTCTCTTCAGGAAGACGCGATTTAGTATTTCACTTAGCGTGGACATGAGTGATTGACGAATAGCCTATCACTGTGCTGTCAAACAAAACGAAAATCGATAAGAACATCATAATGTCATATCCTGGACAAAATCCAATCAAACAACACTAAAGTTACACACGCCACTGACGAAGATTCCACATAAGGAGCTGACGTGTTAATAGATACTGATAATTTTGGGTTGTAAAAAATTGGTTAGTCAGCGATTCAGCAAAATAACAACCAATTACCATTGGACAATAGGAACACCTCGTAACTCAGTCCTTTCGTTTAGAACTCACCACGAAAAACGGTTTCAGTTTTCTTGAGAATATTATCACCCAGTAGAGATGCAAGTACGAGTCCCAACGAATACGAAATGACTATCCTAGTTTCCACTGTCAACCACCAGCGATTCGGTTAAATCATCCATCATTTCACAGAAACTATGATAAATTCGAGTTTTCTGTACAAAAGCTGTCAATTCTATTTAGTTCAGAATGTAAATATATCACAACTGAATGTCTCACGGTCACACTGCGTGTCATTATCAATACCAAATCGCTTCAAATACAACCGCTTTCATCTCGAAGTCTTCACACACACGTAAAGTCAAGTAAGCCGCCTTCTCTACGGCTCTTCAACTTGACAGACAAACACGGAGATAGATAGACAGACAGTTAAAGAGTAATCTCACATTCAAGAAAGTACAACCGAATGTCACGAAAATGAGTCAGTCATAACTGACAATACTCGCTTCATACAATCAAATAATCAATACTCTCAACTGTGTACTTCTATTTCGCTTCAATTCTCACACTGAGACAATCGGCCAGTCAATATCACAGAGTTACAGGAAACAAGAATCATCATTTGTCATTTGGAATTGAGATGATTTTATTGAATGTTTGAAAAATACTGTAGCAATTTCAAAAATGATTTTTCTTCTTCATTTCTAAATGTGTTGAGTAAATAATGTGTTGTTGTCGGTTATTTTCTGAATGCTAATCAAGTCGTCAAACTGGCATAAATTGAAAAAAATTCTATATTCATGGGGTACTTTTTTCCGGCTTTTGAGACAAACTAAAAAAGGTGTATTCTATTTTAATCGCCTAGACAGAATTTCATTTCGGCAATATTAATAATTATAATTGAATGTCGACTGAGGATAAAAGTAACCCTAAGGTGTTTTTCGTGCGCATTTCTGACCAACAACTCGAACTTAGGAGGAAAGTGCCACTTGGGGACATAAAACTGGGAGTGCAGCTATGCCTAACTTTCACAGTATTTAAATTCCAAGGGAAAATATACAAACAAACTGAGGGAGTTGCCATGGGATCACCAATATCCCCGGTTATAGCAGATATACTCATGGATAGGTGGGAAAACATAGCGGTTGAGACGTTGACTGCCACCCCAAAAGTATGGTGGAGGTATGTAGACGACACATTCGCTGTACTCAGAACACAGGATGTAGATGGATTTTTCGAACACATTAATTCAAAGGTGGAGGCAATTCAGTTCACTTATGAATTGTTAAGTGAAGAAGGGGAGCTTCCAATGTTAGATTGTAGCGTAAAAAGGAAAGAAGATGGGAAGTTAAACAGTTAACAGGAAACCCACACATTGAAGTTCATTTTTTGACT